TGTACCAGCGTGACACGTCGTATGACAACAAACGCCTATTCGTGGCTGCACGTAATAAATTTAAACGTTTCCTCGAACAAGCTAAGTCTTTGTTTGTTGAGAGAACGAGGCGCCGTATTGCATCTAAAAAGTTTGGCTCTCATGATTATTAGCGAGTTTGTAATCGTGTAGTAAATAAATGTAAGATCTCTATTTCTCCTTTCTTCAACCAGTTTGAAGTGTTAACATCTGCTGATGAAGCTGAATGTTTTACCTGTAAATTCTCCTTAAAATTTACTCTTTACTCGTCTGGAGTATCCTTGCCCAACTTCCCACTTAAAACTGAGTCCCTGTTGAGTGATATGCATACATCCTCTTCTGTGGTTACTGCTATCATCTCTAACCTGGGCCCCCAAAAAGCATGTGAACCTGATGGTATCTCTGTAATAGACATTAAGAAGTGTTCTCTCTAAACTCTATAATAAACACCTCGTTGCTTCTTGGTTTGCTGCCTGCGGGTAGTCCTCATCTGTTGTCCGAGTTTTAAAGAACTCTGGTAAACCATCCGCCCTTCCAACTATCGTTGTATTAGCTTACTATGTGTTTTTGCTAAACTGCCAGAGGCCCTAATCCATGCTGAATTAGTTAAGCATCTCATATGGCAGGACATTCTTTCAGACAAGCAACATGTCTTTCGTTTCTTTGGGTCAGTGTTTCTCAAAGCAACGGCGCATGAAAATATGAAAATATCGCGGCACGCTTAGCAAAGTATTTAAAGTGTATCACAGGAATCACTATTTCCGACTATACCAGCGTGACATGTCGCATGAGAACAAACGCCTAATCGTGGATGCACCTAATAAATTTAAAGGTCTCCTCGAAGAAGCTAATTCTTTGTTTACTGAGGGAATGAGGCACCGTATTGAATCCAACAACTTTGGCGCTCATGGTTACTAGCGGCTTTGTTGTAATGTATTAAATAAATGCAAGTTCTCTATTTTCAATCATTTTGAGGTGTTAACATCTGATGAGGAAGCTGAATGTTTCATCAGTTTGCTTTCGTTTTCTTTACGGGATATCAACCTCAATGGGTTATTTAATGCCGACAAAATTTTGTAATAATGTATTAAATAAATGTCTGTTCTCTATTCCTCCTCTTTTCAACCAATTTGAGGTGTTAACATCTGATGGTGAAGGAGAATGTTTCATCAGTTTGGTTTGGTTTGTTTTACGGCATATCAACCTCAATGGGTTATTTAATGCCGACAAAATTTTTATTGCTGGTATTTTTTTTTTTCAAAAATATATTGCTGGTAATATATTTTGTTTTGTTTTTTTAATGTATTGTTGTTATGAATTTTTTCTTCAAAAATTTATTGCTGCTAAATATTTTTTTACAAATATTTCTGGTATTAAACCCTATTTTTACACTTGCATAGTGTGTTGACCCTAGTTTGGGCGTTAACTACTTGCCCATAGCTGGGACCCTAACAGGTGCTACCACCCCGGATCGGGGCGGACATGGGAACACTAGCAATTAAGAGGTGTTTCCACACTCCTCAAAACCTCCTGATCAAAGGCCTTGCTGTTGGACGTAATATATCGTCATACCCAGCACGCGGATGTAGTTTATTGTCTTACCCAGGACGGCTATTTTGTCCGTTAATTCTCATTAAAGTCTACTCTTGACTTATCTGTAGTACTTACAACTGAGTCTCTATTGAGTGATATGCATGTAACTCCCTTTATGGTTTCTGCTTTCGTAGAATGACAGATAGGTTCTTAAGTACTTTTTTTCTTTGTTTCTAACGAGATTTTCTCGTTTCTTAATACTTTGCTTAGCATTTGGAAGGCATCTTTTCCTTATTTCAATGTGCCTTCGTGTTCAAACACTTCACATATATTTAATTTTTTACTAAATCTAAAAAATATACAGGGTAATTGAAAATTAACATCTCACGTTATATAATCTGTAATAATCTATTTATTAACTATAATCTTTACAAAAAATGCATATGAGAGGAAAACGTTTAGCATGAGGTTTTATTTAAAATTCGATATAGGCACCAGATTTTGTACCACATTCTCGAACCGCCCAGGAATCGCGTCAGCAGATTTCAGCAGGAGCTCTTGTTGTACGGAATTGCTTCAAGTCTTTTCTTCATGCGGAAGAGATTATCCAGCATTCAGTTATATGGTAACTGATATTACATAAGAGTTCAATACTCTTTTCTCGTAGGAAAACTAAATTTCGGCATTAAATGACACATAAGGATTTGATAAACCTTTATCAAACAAATCAATCATTTTGGTTTTCCTTTAAATATCGTCTTTACTTACATGTTCTCAGCATCCTACTGTAGAGCTACATTTCTGTTGCCTCAAGTCTGTCTTTTATCTGTGAGATCGTTCAGTACTCAATGTCATACAGGAGGACTGATATTACGTGGCATTTAAGGACTATTTTCTTTATTTCTAACGAAGTTTTCACCTTTCTTAATACTTTGCTTAGCTTTTTGAAGATATCTTCTACTATCGCAATTCGCCTTCGTTTTTCGGTTGCATACTTTCCGTCGTATGTTATGTTGCCCCACGTCTGTTCTTTATCTGTGGGATTATTCAGCATTCACTGTCATATAGGACAGTGAGTATAAACCGCTGTCCCGCGACACATTAGATCCCCTTAAGTCTGCCGAGAAATATATATATATATATATATATATATATATATATATGTGTGTGTGTGTGTGTGTGTGTGTGTGTGTGTGTGTGTGTGTTTGTATGCGGAAGTGGTAATGGTACAACATTAGTATTTGAATAAATGAATAAGTATTAACCTTTTTTTTTTATCTCACATTAGCTAAAAAGTTTTTGTCAGTTATATTGCAATTTTCTATTTCTTATTTATGTGAAATGCGCTTATCAACCCTAAATAACATCAAAAATAAGAAGTGAGAAAGACTACGCTCAACTGAAGAAGAAATGAGGGTCTGCTTATCATCCATTGATACATTTTGGATTTCAATACAAAAGGAATATCCCACATTAGGTAAAAAGGCTTTATCAGTTTTATTGCAATTTTCTACTTCTTATTTATGTGAATTACGCTTCTCAACCCTAAATAACATCAAAAATAAGAAGTGAGAAAGACTACACTCAACTGAAGAAGAAATGAGGGTTTGCTTATCCTCCAATGATACATTTTAGATTTCAATACAAAAGTAATATCCCACATTAGCTAAAAAGGCTTTATCAGTTATATTACAATTTTCTACTTCTTATTTATGTGAATTACGCTTATCAACCGTAAATAACATTAAAAATAAGAAGCGAGAAAGACTACGCTCAACTGAAGAAGAAAAGAGGGTCTGCTTATCGTACATTCAACCAAACATTGAAAAAATCGTGAAAAAAAACACCAGGCACAGGTTTCACACTAAGTAAGTTGCACAAATAGTTGAAATGGATTGAATTAACTGCCATCAGGTAACGACGATAGACGTTAGCAATAAAAGTGAATCACTGATTTAGCGGGTTTGAAATATTTATTTAATTAAATATATAAGGATACAGAAGGTGATTATCTCCCTTTGGTGGGAGTCATGAGGGTCAAATGATAACCACTGTCATATTCAGTTTGTTTTCAGCAGCTAACCAGTAAGGTTGCATTCTTTAGTCGCCAGCAGCTTATAAGTCCACGGTGCCGTTTCCCTTTGACAATATATATATTTCCAAGATATAAAAGAAACCCAAGCTCGCAGTCGTCAATTTGGAAAACACCTGTTCGTTGAATATGTCCTCGCCTGGGACATAGATGAATCCAGCCCGTTTGATTCTGGAGTCTTAAACATGGCTTCTCCAGACACAGGAGTATATTATAAGTAAAACCCTTTCTTTGTATTTCTTCTTACAATCTGCTTCGCAATATATTATTCTCTGCGTGGGACATATATATATATATATATATATATATATATATATAGTTTTATGTATGTCTTAGTATTATAAAGGTCTCTCTGAAAAAAAAAACACGTATGTCATTCTTTTTCCTTTTAGCCATTCCATTCCGTCCATGAAATATCCGTGTTATTATATCATGGATATGATAATGCCCATAACGGGGGAAATCCGAATTTGAGAATAAATGTTTCTACCATAGCTGTCTCCCGTTACAAATAACGGGTATCTGTCACTTGGACCGATTTTAAATGTGAATTAAATCTAAGGGTATAAATTTTTTTTTCTTTTTCTTTCAGATTTAACAACTTAAGTCTTTGGCAATTTCAACCATGAAAACATTAATAATTTATCAAAACCTATTACGAAAATGCATGTTCAAACAGAATTTGAATGAGAAATTCCTAGGTCGCATCATCTCTCAAAACAGCGAAGCCAATTGGCCACAAAAATCGTGCGACTTGACGCCTTTAGATCCTTTGGGATCATCTCAAAAGTAAGGTCTATACCAACAAGCCAACAACAATTCAATAGTTGAAAGATGAAATAATTAGGCATATTGGTGAGATCGAGGAGCAACTATGCAGAGACGTCATCAAAAACTTTGCCCATTGAGTGGAGGTGTGTCGCCGAAGCCTTGGCGTTCATTTGGGCGATATTATTTTTCACACATAATTGCCATGAATTAAATAATATGATCCAATAGATAAATAAATGAATTTTCATCAATAACACTGATTTATTTACTGCTGACTTTGATTCGTCTTAATGAAACACCCTTTATAACTTGTAGTTTTTCAACGATACGACATTTTTGAGTCTCCCACCGCTGCCAGCGAAATGTCAGCCATTTTTGTTTCTCTTAGCCCGAGATGGAACAAGCGCTATTTTTGAGAAGCGTTCTTTAAAATCTTGACGGAGAATTTATTTAAATGTTTGTTAACAAAAATCACATTAATTTTTACCTATATGATTTAAAAAAAAAAGTGAATTTATTTAAAAATTCGTTTCATTATTTTTGTTTTTATTTTGATATTCTTTTTTTCACGTTTTGCGTAGTTACGATGCTGTCTCGCATTCGTTTCCGAGCGGAAGTTATATTCAGGTTTTAAAGACTGTCACCAGCGGATGTGAAATGCGGTTAAGAAGCTTCCGGTTGGCGTGCTAAATATGCATGTTGACTGACTTTTGTATATTGCGTTGCTTTCCTGTTTTACGACCATGTTCTTTCTTTTCCCTTCCAAATCCAGTTTTTCAGGTTTATTCCTGAAAGTAGTCAGATATCTATCTATCTATCTATCTATCTATCTATGTTCTTTATGAATCTATCTATCTCAGTGTGTTCATATCTATCTATCTATCTATCTATCTATCTATCTATCTGTCTGTCTCAGTCTGTTCATATCTATCTATGTGTGCTATATTTATTATCTATCGATCTCATCAAAAGTTTTTGTTTGCGTTTGTTTTTTTCTTTTATCTTTCTTTCTTTCTTTTTTCTTTCTTTCTTTCTTTCTTTCTTTCTTTCTTTCTTTACATCTATATTTCTAGACAACTGCATTCTTTACTATTTTCCTCTTTTTTCTTCCGCTTTTCTATGCAATCTTTTTTTCTTTTATTCCTCTTTCTTTTTTAAAAGGTTTTATATTTTTCATTTTTTTTTTCAGGCCATTCCGGTTGAACATTTTCACGTTTTTGTTTCTTTTTCTCCCCCAACCCATTTTTTTCTTTCAACAGTTTACCTTTCTTTCTTTGTTTCTTTGTTTCTTTCTTTCTTTCTTTCTTTCTTTCTACACTTTACTTTTCTTTTTATTTATTTATTTGTTTATTTATTTATTTATAAACTTTACCTTTCTTACTTTTCTTCTTCTTTCTACACGTCATCTTTCTTTCTTTCTACCCTTTACTTTTCTTACTTCTTTCTTTCTACACTTTACCCATCTTTCTTTCTATACGTTACCTTTCTATTCCTTACCTTTTTCTTTCTTTATTTCTTTCTTTCTTTCTTTCTTTCTACATTTTATATTTCTTTCTTTCTACGCTTTACCTTTCCTTCTTTCTTTATTTATTTCCTTATTTATTTATACACTTACCTTTCTTTCTTTTCTTCTTTCTTTCAACACGTTATCTTTCTTTGTTTCTACACTTTACCCTTCCTTCTTTCTATACGTTACCTTTCTATTCATTACCTTTTCTTTCTTTCTTTCTTTCTTTCTTTCTTTCTTTCTACACTTTATATTTATTTCTTCCTTTCTTTCTACACATTACTTTTCTTTCTATCTTTCTTCCTGGCTTTATTTATTTATACACGTTACCATTCTTTCTTTCTACACGTTATGTTTCTTTTCTTTCTTTCTTTCTTTCTTTCTTTATTTATTTATTTATTTATACACGTTACCATTCTTTCTTTTCTTCTTTCTTTCTAGACGTTATCTTTCTTTCTTTATTTATTTATTTATACACGTTACCATTCTTTCTTTTCTTCTTTATTTTAACACATTATCTTTCTTTCTTTCTACACTTTACCTTTCTTTCTTTCTTTCTTTCTTTCTTTCTACACTTTACTTTTCTTTCTTTCTTTCTTTCTTTCTACACATTACTTTTCTTTCTTTCTTTCTTTCTTTCTTTCTTTCTTTCTTTCTTTCTTCCTACACTTTACTTTTCTTTCTTTCTATCTTTCTTCCTGGCTTTATTTATTTATACAATTTACCTTTCTTTCTTTTCTTCTTTCTACACTTTAACTTTCTTTCTTTCTACCCTTTACTTTTCTTACTTCTTTTCTTTCTACATTTTACCTTTCTTTCTTTCTTTCTTTTTTTATTTATTTATTTGTAAACTTTACTTTTCTTACTTCTTTCTTTCTACACGTTATAGTTCTTGCTTTCTAAACTTTACCCATCTTTCTTTCTATACTTTACCTTTCTATTCCTTACCTTTTTCTTTCTTTCTTTCTTTCTTTCTTTCCTAATATTTTCAAAGCCTTTCTTTCTCTCTCTCTCTCTCTTTCTCCCTTTCTTTCTTCCTCTCTTTCTTTATTTCTGTGTTTCTTTCTTAATATCTTCAAAGTCTTTCTTTCTTTCTTTCTTTCTTTCTTTCTACACTTTACCTTTCCTTCTTTATTTATTTCTTTATTCATTTATACACTTTACCTTTCTTTCTTTTCTTCTTTCATTCAACACGTTATCTTTCTTTCTTTCTACATTTTACTCTTCTTTCTTTCTATGCTTTACCTTTCTATTCCTTACCTTTTTCTTTCTTTCTTTTTTTTTTCTTTCTTTCATCTTGCATCCCTTCTTTCTTTATTTCTTTCTTTCTTTCTTTCTTTCTTTCTACACTTTATATTTATTTCTTCCTTTCTTTCTACACTTTACCTTTCATTCTTTCTATTTTTTTTCCTTGCTTTATTTATTTATTCATTTATACACGTTACCATTCTTTCTTTTCTTTCTTTCTACCCGTTAACTTTGTTTCTTTATTTATTTATTTATTTATTTATACACGTTACCATTCTTTCTTTTCTTCTTTCTTTCTACACGTTATCTTTCTTTCTTTCTTTTTTTTCTTTCTTTATTTATTTATACACGTTACCATTCTTTCTTTTCTTCTTTCTTTCTATACGTTATCTTTCTTTCTTTCTTTTTTTTCTTTCTTTTATTTATACACGTTACCATTCTTTTTTTTCTTTTTTTTTTCTTAAATTTCTTTCTTTCTTTTTTTTTTTCTTTATTTATTTATTTATTTCGTTACCATTCTTTCTTTTTTCTTTTTCTTTCTTTTAAATTTATTTTCTTTCTTTTCTTTTTTTTTTTTCTTTATTTATTTATTTCTTTCTTTCTTTCTTTCTTTTCTTTCTTCTTTTTTTTCACTTTATTTCTTCTTTCTTCTTTCTTTACATTTTCTTTCTTTTTTTCTTTTCACTTTACATTTCTTTCTTTCTTTTGTTATTCTTTCTTTTCCCCTTTCTTTCAACACTTTATATTTCTTCCTTCCTTTCTTTCTTTCTTTCTTTCTTTCTTTCTTTCTTTCTATACTTTATCTTTTTTTCTTTTTATCATCTTGCTTTTTTTTTTTTTTTCATTATTTCTTTTTCTTTTCCTTTTTCACCCATTTTTTTTTTTTTTTTTTTCTTTTCTTTTAACCTTTTCGCTTTCTTTCTCTTCTGTATTTTCCTTCTTTCTTACCCGACAGATCCAAGAGAAAAATCGATAAACTTGAAATCAAATCACATGATATTCTTAACATTAAAATTCAACAAAAAAAAAAAAAAGAATAAAAAAAATCGAATCAAACCTTCCAGCGTTTTGCTACGCCATTTGTTTTTTCTATCAATTCTATGTTTTTTCACAAAATTTGTTTGTTTCTGCTTTCTGCAATTGTCGGCTGTTCTTTGAAATCTAGTTTTCTTTCGTCATTACTTTCTTTCATTTTTCTTCGACCCAAAAAAAAAAAAAAAATAAATCTTTTTTTTATCAAATTATATAAAATGATCAACTGGACACGTCTAGTCATGTTAGATCCGGCCAAAGGAATATCATATAGATTTAAAACACTACGATACAAACAAATTTTTCTTAAATTTTCTCTGTAACAAATGTTTCATTTTTTCTTTGTTAGTAGTAATTTAACTTGATATTATTTGAGTGCTGTTTAATTAATTACCTTTTTATTTATATGTATTTGTTTTGTAGGAGGAATCTTTTTTTTTTTATTATTTTAAAAACGAAATTAATTAAAACTTTTTAAAAAACATTTCTTAAAAATGTTTTTTGTTATGTTTTATTTCTAATATTGGTCCATACCAATATTCTGTCAACATCTTTTCTACCAATTGTTATCAAGAAATCTTGTCTTTTTTTTTTAAATTTAAATGCTTATTTGGTATTGGTTCCCAGAATTTCCTTTGTACGGATGCGTTTGAAATCGTCTATTTTCGATCAGCCGGAGTTGAGGATTTAATTTATTTGGTCAAATAGTTTGTAGATTTGATTCGTTCGTGAGGATGGCGCTTTTGGTTTTATAACCCGGCGTTTTAGCTGACACAGTTCTACTAGATATCAATCGACTAGTCTATAGATTATGTTATATATGATCCTAGTCCTGGGTTCGGCAACGTTTTGCTAAACAAAATGACTTAATCAAATTTAAATCATTCAGTGTGCCAATAAAATAAATATTTTATACAATTTCAAAGGTCAATATATCTGTTCTATAATATATTTTTTTAGTATATAAATAATATATATACTTTATTTATATATTAAAATTTTAACAGCTAAAAATATTTTGCGTTGTAGTAGTTAATTGGTTTGGACTTCGTTCAAATGTCATTTACGGCTGCGTGCCACTGGAAATTTAATACATGCCTTATATAAAATGGTTTATATCTCATGTAAAAGAAATTGCCTTTTCTACAAAAATCTCAATCAATTTTAATATCTTGTGGTGGATAAGGGCTAGGATGATGAAATATCCTTCTTTTCAGTGCAATATTTCTTATCATCACTGAAGACAAGGTTATTTATGGAATGATGAAAGATCCTTATTTTTTATCATCACTGATGGCAAACTTTTTTTTGTATGTATTTAATATTCTTATTTTTTTTAACATCACTGATGGCAAGCTTATTTTATTTATATGATGAAATATCCTTATTTTTTTTATCATCACTGATGGCATAAATTTATTTTTGGAATGATAAAACATCCAAATTTTTTTATCATCACTGATGGCAAAACTAAATATTTTTAAATGATGAAAAACATCCTTTTTTTATCATCACTGATGACAAAGTTATTTTTAATGATGTAAGATATAATTTTTTTCATCACTGATGGCAAAACATATTTTTGAATATATAAATATCCTTATTTTTTTATCATCACTGATGGCAAGAAAATTTTTGGAATGATGAAAGATCCTTATTTCTTATCATCAAAATATGGCAAGTTATTTTTTATAATGATGAAACATCCTTATTTTTTTATCATCACTGATGGCAATATATATTTTGGAATGATGAAACATCCTTATTTTTATAAATCATCACTGATGGCAATATTTTTTTTTTTCAATGATGAAAATCCTTATTTTTTATCATCACTGATGATAAATATTATTTTTGGAATGATGAACTATGGACTATCAGTCAATTATGTGTCATGCGTGATACAAAAACTAGGCGATCATGTATGACTGGCGTTTGCAGATTTTTCCTTATATTATGATGTGATTTCTTTCTGCAGTAGACGTTTTTGCCATCAAGGCTATAGAACCCTCTCTTGTCCTGTTATTTACCCATAGCTGGGGGAAATTAAGAACAAACCTTCACTACAATGAAATGTAATGGATTCGACTGAAATTCGAACTCCAGCTCTTCGATTCCTCAATCCGAATGCTATCCATTTCCTCAAGATCTGGACCATAACAATGTTGTATCATACACATACGTATAGTGGGGTTAAATATGGTTAAATTTTAAAATAATTTATCTATACCAACAAAATATAATGTATAAGATAATAATCATATTAAAATATTTCATTATTTTAATAAAACAAGACAAGTTTATTTATTTATCAAAACACTGAATATAAAACTTCATCAAATTGTTTCTATCTAATAAATCAGTAATTTTTTAGTCCGTAGTTCAAACAATGTCATTTAGAGGAAACAAACATATTAGATGATATGACACAAAAAAACAATTTTTTTTAAAATCATTTTTTCAATGTTTCGTTATATAATGGTTTTCAAATATACGGTTGTATGTGTTTATCCTGTAGACGAAAATAATATTTATGTAATTTCTCATATTTTTGCATTGTTAAAAATGAAATCTTTAAAAATTACGTTATTTATTATAAAGCCGATAATATAATTAAAATTGTTAATTTGACAGTTTTTTTATTCAATATAAAACGCGTATTAGAAACGAAAAATTTTTCATATTTAATCTAAATATCTCCTTTTCTTGTTAATTCATTTTTATATTTTAATCAATATTTTTATTTCGCATAATTCATCTTGCTATTTTCTTTCAATCTTTTGAAAAAGAATATTGGTTAATATTCCTATTTCAATAACTGTTATATTCATATTAGCTTTCCGTTAATTTGCCTCATTGGTTTCGTCCGAGTTTGAAGGTAAAAATCATTTTGTTATTTCGTATATCATAAAGACGAATTTTTTATATCGTTCTCTTTCTTTGATATAAAATAGGCTATGTAATTTTAATTATATATAAAATAGGTTAATTGTAATATATGTATATAGATTGTATCTTAACCTCATTATATATCAATACATTATATTGTAAATTTTTTTGAAAAATCTATTTTCTTATTGTGTCTGTTTTTTATCTTCCTTTTCTGATGAAGAGGTTTTGTTTGACTCTATATAGTCAATTGGAATATCTTTAAATTTGGCAATATATAAGTCTAATTAATTCTTTTCATATTCAAATCGTTAAAAATATTATCTCATATCATAAAATTTTCCATATTTCTTTATTCGGATATGGATTTGTCATTATTGCTGATGATATTCAAATATATTCACGAAATGGCCGTCCATACATGCTTTCATTTTTATTCTGTTGAAAATTCTATCAGATCGATGAATTAATTATAATTATCTGAAATCCTCCTAATAATTTCTATCATATATATATATATATATATATATATATATATATATATATATATATATATATGTATATATGTGATTGTGTGTGTTTTATTAACAATCCTTCTTTTATACATATTCATTAAAGACGGTATAAGTTATATGTTTAAAATTTCATTTATTTTTTATGTGTTCATATCATGAGTTTTTTCTGGTTTTTTTCTGGATATAAGTTATGTAAAAATTGTCCAAATGTATTTGTAAAATCGAAAAAGATATTCTTTATATTATCAAGGACTTTTCATTTTAAAATAAATAAATTAAATTAAATAAGTCAACATTCAATAAGATCAAAGATGAACACGGTCATAATATGCTGGCCGTGTTTGGATAATTTTGGAAAATGACGATTAGACACATCCAAAAAATTATTCATCTCTTAAAAATATAAATAATAGCAAAAAAGCATATCGGACACTACAAAACAATTCCAATTTTTTTAAAATTCATTTATAATCCTGTGTTTCTATAAAAGTTCAGATAAATATAAAATATCTGTAAAAAATAAGATGAATATATATCATATATATAAATATATATATATATATATATACTATTTTCAATTGGATTAAGATACCTTTAAAAAATGACCATTTTCATTACAACTTTAATTTTAAAATTCGCAATTTTTAAATATATATCATATCATACTTTAGTTGGGGATAAAAATGATAGGATTCTTAAAATAACATGGTGGAGATTTTATTTTATTCCTTATATTATGGATCTTTTTAAGGAAATTTTTATGAAATTTTATCCTAATGGTCACCTGGCCAAGTTTTGATTCAAATAATCCATCCCATTATAAAACGTGAAAAAAATCAATATAACTTTAATATATAAAATATAATTCATAATTATTGGTGTGTTAAACTCGTCCATGTATCAGAGCTTCAACTTGAGTATTTTAAACATATTTCAAATTCTATATTAAATATACTATATATATATATATATATATATATATATATATATATATATATTTATATATTTATATATATTCCTATATGCATGTTTCATTAAAAACGACAGACAAGGTACTACAGTTGAGCTTTTTATTTAATTTTTTTCTTGTGTTCTGACAAGAGCTTTCTT